AGGCTTGGGAGCGGTTCAAGGATCTCCAGCGGCAGTGCCCCCATCACAATCTCTCTCCGGGGCTACTCATGAACTGTTTCTACGATTCCCTCCACCAGAATTTGCAGTATATGGTCGACAATGCGACATAAGTTGATATCGGAGCAAGGACAGCCGAGGAGATGTTTGAAATTTTTGAGACGAAGAGTACGAACTCGTCACAGAAGAGCACTCGAGGTAAGAGAGCGGTAGTGAATGAGGTCGAAGCTGGCCATGACTTGGTGGCCCAACAACTAGCTGAATTTACTGAGCAGATGAGGTTGCTTACCGCACGAGGATCTCAACCGGTTAATACCTTTGTCGTTGACACATGTGGGGCATATGGAGTCCAAGGGCATAGGTCCGAAGTATGCCCCTCATCATTCGAGCAGGACTCCGGCGAGCAGTATGCGTATGTCAGTGCTTTACAAGGATACCAGAACCGACCAGGCAATGACCCATATTCAAACACGTACAATCCCGGATGGCGGAACCACCCACACTTCTCGTGGTCAAACAACTCGAACACCCTTCAGCCACCACGTCTGAACATCATGCAACAGCAACCTCAACCCAAATTTGTGCCTCGTCCAAACTACCAGCCACAACAACAGCAGCAGAGGGGACCAGAGGCCGGGATGCAAGCACCCGGAGCAGGGCCGAGTTCAACCCTCCAAGACGACATTGCCAAAATCCTTTAATTTATGGCCAGCAGTGAGCAGCGGAGTGTCAATCAGGAGGCCTCGATCAAGCTTATTGAGACACAGTTGGGCCAACTGGCCACACAGGTCGGAGTCCTCGAAACTAAAATGAACAAGGGGAAGTTGCCTAGTCAACCGGAGCATGTGAACTCAGTGACCGTCATTATGCCCGACTTGGAGGAGAAGATTGTAGACGAGGGGGAACAAGAAGCAGAAGAAGATCCGAGGAAGTTAGAGCAAACAGAAAAGGCCCCAGCAACACCGCCTTCCGAGCCAACTTTGCATAAGTCCCCAAATCCATACAGGCCAAAGTTTCGTTACCCATGCCGACTCTTAGAAGAGAAGGACAATCTGCTGATGCGGGACCTTTACGAGATGTTGAAAAAGGTATATGGCAATCTACCACCTTCTGATGTGTTCAAGACGATATTGGCTTACTGTTTATTGTGTTTTTGTCATTATTTTCGTGTGTTTTGTGTGTTTTATTTTATAGTTTTAGGCTCGTTTTTGTGTCGACCGGTCC